AGGATTCGGAAATCGAGTTAATTTTACTTGAGGTCAATAATGTCATTTCAAAATTATCTTTTATTTAGTATCAACAGTATATAGAGACACTAATGGAAGTGAAGGCTCGTTAACACAATCTATTTATGACATTGTGTCACATGGCAAATGTTAAAGTATATATGTTGATGGAGAATTCTGTGACTACCAGAGGAACTTCAGTAGAGCAGTGGAAAGTCCAACAGACTATACAAATGTAATAGAATAAACGAAATGAGCTTCCCGCAACAGAAGTTAGAGGAAACTGGAAAGGTATAATGCTCGGAAGTAGCTTAATATGGTGATTCAATAAAATAGGGTCGTTCACAACAAAAACATAAACCCATTAGTCTGAATCCCGCCCGGCGTCAGGATAGCGGCTGACTGGTAAAGGTAATCTACAACCGGATACTTGATTAACAGAGCGGGGCGAGTAACATATACTATCTTAATTACAGATGTAAATTTCATTTCTCTTGCTTAATTGTTAAATCGATAACAAGAATAAAGAACCAATTAGCCAAAGCGACTTGGTACAGTTATCTTAACAGCCTATCTCCTGATCTTGTTTAAGATTTTTTCGCCTGAAACCAAAGAAAAGATAGACTTGAAGCTTTCTCTTCATAGATTTCACCAGTAGGTACCTATATAATACAGCATTAAAAAGAACGGTCACATTTGAACGGAAACATCCATCAGAGAATTTCATGACATTTTCTTGAAGAGTGTACGTCCTCAACGTCCGCCATTAATGGCAGCATGATGTCAATAAGGTTCTTCACGGTTCGTACGATATAAATCTATCTTGTTTTTATAACCAACCTAAATTACAATATCGTTTATAGTCACGAAAGGTGCTACCTGTCTTACTCGACCAGGATTAACCCGTCTCAAACTGCCGTCTGTATCTATTATCTATATAATATCACCACTAGAACATAAGCTGCCATTTGTCTGTTGGGATCGTTTATCATTTCACCTGCGTGCTGTGTACACTTCTGTAGAACATATATGATTTATTTGTAGCTATATGCATCACCTTCGTAATAGATATACATGAACCTTACAAGCTGCATGCACCACTTGTCTATAATTCCCAACGAGCTAAATCTCTCAACTGTCAAAGTATGTCACCTTTTATGTTACTACCAGATTCATGAATGCACTTTACATATAAGGTTATTACACAAAATCTGCCAATACCGATCAACTGCCTCTACTTGGGATCTGTCTGTTGTTGACATGGGTCATCACTACATACTGGGGGTAAAAACTATATGAGTATTATGTCCATTGTCCACCGTAATTATAAATCATAGACACGACAGACTGTTCTACATTAGCAGCTGCTCAGATGTTCCCTACTACTAACCAGACAGGCAATTTTTTCACCACGATATATGGAAAGTGTGATCATTTTGAGTTCTCTATTGTGAAATTTCCATTTCTGTGTCGAAACACTGCAGCTTCCTTAACACATGGTGCTAACATGTCGCAGTTGATAATATGCAAAGGCTTGCTCATTTCCAATGTACTGCAAAGGAGTTCCGAGAGGTGCATGTTGAGTAGTAGTATTGGATGCTTTCATTTTTGAGTAGTACGATATGGGGAGGGCATAAATAGGTTATGTGTGATGTTTAATCCCTTTGTCATTTAGGTCATTAAAATTGTTTGAAATTGAAATAGAACGGTTTTGTTGTAAAGTGTTGTCTTCTACAGTGGTTTTAATGAAACATAAATGTGTTGACGTTAGTATAGTGCTTACGCGCAATGGTATTTCTTAAAAGTTTAACAATATTATATAGCACAATTCATTTATCAAGCGATCTCTTATATCAAAGACAACTGGTCTATCTGCTTCTTGATAATGATATCTTTTATTCATCCAAGGTTACTTACTTAAATAGGTATAATTCCCAATATGACACTAAAATAACATAAATATGTAGATATCACATATTATATCAGACATTAGTGGTATGTGTGAATGATTTATGAAAGTGAGATTAAATTACCGCACAAACACATAAAATAATTCGAACCCTAGCGGTGGCAGAGTATTTTTCAGTATTCCTTCCTATTACATGTTTGGTGCCGTTGATCACTCCAAGAGTAGAAGCTATAGGATATTGAAATGCTTTCTTGGAGATATTGAACCTGGGTTGTTGTTGGCTTCGAGGTCGAAGACTTTGTGAAGGAGGGAGAAGTGTAGAGGTTGAGAGTACACTAGCTTCGGTTTATGGGATTTTCCCTTGACTCGAGCGGTTGAGTGTCCGGCTAGAGAACTCTATCATCTAAGTCGTTATCTTTCCCCTTCATTATTAAACTATTTTGTTCTTCTATTTTGCGAGTTGTCATAGGAATATCGCGGTAGGGTGTTTAAGATATAGTCATTGATATTTAGATTGAACAGCAGATCTGTGGAATGATATAAAAAAACCAAATTGGCATTAAGTTTGTTTTGTGACAGAAAATTATTCATTGTATGATGTACGAAGAACACTTGATACATAGACAGTTCTATACTTATTGACTACGGTAGGATCACCCGCATTAGAAATACGGGTAATATTGGCCCTATTCCATTTAGAAGGAAATATCTCCTAATGAGATTTGCACGTTAAATAGAGGTGAAAGGTGACCCTATAGAATCACCAGCAGATTTCCGTAATAACACAAAAATGCGGTCTACACCAGAAGTTTTGTCATCGGCAAGTTTCCTGTTTGCAGAAAGTACAAAAGCTGGTGTAATATTTGGAATAACATATTGATTTTCATTAAAAAAACTATTGGTAAATTGTAATCGTTTTAAAAGTTTTATCTATTTATATTCCAATTAAAAAAATGTAAACGACTCAAGCAAAATTTTCCCTCTCAGAAATAGTACTTTCATCACATTTAAATCAACAGTTGCAAATTTAAGTTACTTAATAAAAGAATCCTTGATATTTTCCGACAAGTTTGATACTACGACAACCAGATCCTAAGGAAGAGCGTCTAGCTTTGTTATGTATATTGTCACGGTTATCATGCATTTTATTCATAAAATCATCACGTATCCATCGTGAAATATTTTTTTTTATCCGTTTTCCACAAACGGATATCATATATCCATAGTGTCAACGAACAAGAATTCATGAAGTGATGGGGCTAGTTCAGTCCTTTGTAATTTTGAAACTTTTCAGATATATGATTAAAGTCCAAAAAACGGGACTTACAGATAATTAGGTATGCAATAATATCAAACTGTTTATATTCAAACAACTCAAACGAACACATCACCTTTGAGATAATAGACATACGTAGTATCTTGATATCAATACAGCTTGAAAGAATAAGTTGGTTTCATTCAGGAAGACAATATTTCTGTTATTAGGTAATGATGATATCTACCAAGTGCATGTATTTTTGCACTTGTAATTACCTGTCCTTTTGCCCGCCTTATTTTTGAAAGAGGTACCATCTATACTTTTTATATTTAATGATGTTTGGTTTTCTGAGTGAACTCTCCTTCGTCTTGGTCTAAATACCGTTTACATGTGTTCATCCCGAAAACAAATTAGTAATTGACAAAATTTTTGCGTTGAATTTGTGAAATAACATTAAATGCTATTTCACAGACAACTACTATAAAGGGTCATGTTTTTTATTATCTTTACATCAAAGTGGTTACTGTAACCCCAAAGGAGCCCCATTGTAAGGAAGTTTTGAGTGCATGTACGTCAATATTAGTCTCGGGTTCAATACATAAGGTTAGTGGAGCGGAGAGCTCTTAAGTAAATATGCGACGCAATATTATTCGCCCATCTTCCAATTCAACGAGTCACCACCAGTTCCCAAGATTAGCGATATTGATGATTGTATGCCGTGGTAAAAAATCCTTTATAATATCGAATATAGTGTCATTGATTTAGACCGAGAAGTGCTCTACGGAGTATTTCTATTCCTTCGTCATGTGCGATAATTACCCACAGATCCACCATAATTAGCTAGTCAGTCATGAGTTCTTACTAGTGTCTCGTGTGTCGATTGTGACCAATTTATATACCGATGATTAACGCTCCTACATACAAACCTGTCCTGGAACATCACAAGTAAAACCTAGTGTTTCAAGAGGCTTGGATTATTCCGGTGATAGGGAAAGAATCAAATATGGTCTTCAGTCCCAGGAAAAAAATCAGTTTGTTGACTTGTTGACCCTTTCGTATAGGGTACGAAATACACATTGTGACTTCTTGACAACTTGATCTTGAGATAATATTTGTAATGATTGTTATTGGAAATGATTGAGAAGCACTTTACCGCGTTGTATCATCAAAGGTTTCCTTGGCAACCAACCGTGGTTCATGTCCTGCTCGGTGAAATAAAAAACATACTCTTATCAAGCTAATTGCACTCAGTTTTATCCACTTTGCAAATCGTCTACTTTGTCAATCGAATAATACAAGTGCTTACCTGTAGTTACCTGGTCCAGTAGAGCAGTGAACAAATTATCGGTATCTTTATAATGAGACACAAAACAAAAATCAAATAAATGTGCAGTGCAGTAAACTCATGTCTTTGTGCAACCATTGATACAATAGTGGGGTTTACAGACTGTGACTAGCATGCATAAGTCTTTGTGATAATCATGACCCTAGTGTTGTTTTTATGATTACCGCGATACTGTGATTGAGGGTGATATGAGATGTGAAGCGATATGTAGCTCTCACTTTGGAAATTGCTCAGTGTAATTGTAAATTGACAGGAAAACACACAATGTTTTGATCTCTATTGATAGCATGTAACTGTTTATAGGACATAGTCACTGAATAGATATTTTTTTTGCAAACAATAATCATAATAAAAAGTTAAAAGCTATTTGGAACACTGAAGTTTACTTAGCAATATAGGTGTATGACCATAATTGGAAAGCCTCAGCATAGATCTTGTACAAATGTCAGCACATTTTGATCTGTAGATAACATGCGCATTTAACTCACCATTCTTCCCTGGTATTCCTGGAATTCCCGGAGTTCCGGGTTCTCCCTTTTCTCCTTGGACTCCTGGAGGCCCCCTTGGACCCCTTATGGGGATCCTCACAGGCATATTGGAATTTTTACACGATACTTGCAGCTGACATGTCCCGTCTTCGACGTCATCTGGATCGAACCGTTCTCTAAGCCCCTTCCGGTTACGCAATCGTCTCTTACTTCCAGTAGCAGTGAAGAGTAATAGTGATATTGTCACGTACTGTATATACTGCATGTTTCTGCAAAACAAGATAAAATAGATTTTTTTTTATCTAATTAAGGGCTTTAAAAGAATGTGTGGTATTTGTTTACGTAAGTATATTCCAATCACTTATTAAAGTTTCATATGTATCTGCAATCGCTTGGTAAGAATAAATTCATTATGATAAGTATTGTGCTAAACTTGGTGTGATGATACTTCAATGCTATTGTCACTTACGTTCTATTGATAAATAATTATTTCATAAATACGGCTTTTACTAAAAAGCAATCGTTAATTTTCTGAAATGTCTTTTAAATCGCCCACTTATGAAATTTTTAATTATCGTTAAGTGTGATTACATAGACTATGGTGTATTGGTTATTGCAATACTTTTCGGTTTTCAGCCATTGCCCTCAATTAGAGCCCCGTTACATGTTGGAAGCCCTTTAGTTATCGCCCTGTCCGTGCGTCCGAAAAACATTTTTGTCTGCTTGATAACTTTGTTCATGTCATCGTACAGGGATGACACTTTGTATTATTGTTAACCACTTTTTGAGGGTGTATCACATGCCAAGTTTCTGTTTGTATTAAAGGATAAATTCCCAAATCTAGTGTGTTTTCAGTGGATGAGAAAGTTAGAAAATCTAAGGAACTAAAAATTAAATAAATCCGGCTTATACAATGGATTGAATTGTATCAATTCAACCTTATTTTTTCAACTTGTTCCATTCATTCATTTGTATAGTGGCACGGGCCAGAATATATCAACATACACATGTAAAATTATCATCATGTAAATCATGAAAATTACTGAATTATTGGGCTAGTGCACTTCCACGTCTAAATTTTGACATTTCTTTCAGTTATTTTGGATTTCCTCAGTATCTTCATAGGTTTAACATTTAGGATTTTAGCAACACTGGCACGAGTACTATACGGACAAAACAGTTGTATGATGTAGTTTAGTTCATTGTTTGGCTCTGTTTTATCTTATTGAAAAAAGTATTGAATGATGCTTTCCATTAGTGTGTTCCGTACAATCTTTAACTTGATGATAATTTTTGCAGTATAAAAATTCTTATTGACATTATTTTGCAACGACGGGGCCCTTAGAGACGGTTTCATCGCTGCGTCTAGTTTAAGAAATGTTCAATTCTAGATAACAGTTAATATTTAGCAAGAATAATAAAAGATTAAATAAGCAAAAATAGTTAATGCACATAGTGAAGCCACTTACAAATCCACAAGGGGATATTATACGTATTTCAAACACGTGATTGCGACGCATAAAGAAGAGACGTGCTGCAAATCCGTTAACAAACTACCGCCTAAGATGGAATCATTTTAACATTAAATGCTATGAGTGATTTTCACGACCATGAGCAACATAACTCAGGAGAGTATTTCTTAGTGTGTTTAACACTCAGTTGTGCTAGCTTCTCTGGGAAAGCGGATAAAGGGAACAAGATTAAGCATTTTAGGATCGCCGTAAATAACAGTTCCAATGTAATTATTGTCATATAAATCGGACACGACGTTTCGGCACGTCAGCGTACCGGAAGAGCATGGAAAACGAAGAAAAGTTATCGCATGCCCCAATTTCTTGATTAGCAGGTCAACTGGATGAAGGATTATATTGCCATCATTGGAATTAAATATCTCGACTGCATCGTATGTTTCTAAATCAGCTGACATAAAATGGTCTTGCGGGATCGAACGGTAATAAATTGGTTAAATGGTTGATATCTTGGAAGCGAACAATAAAAACACACAAAGAAAAATATGTGAATTTAAATTGATGGATTAACTTATTCATTTACGGCCCATCAAGAATCAGAGGTCATTAAGTGCGGAGAAAATGGTGGAAAACAAAGGTCATTAAGTGCCTAGAAAATGGTGGAAAACAAGGATTCTTAAAATAAAAAAGCTCAGTAAACCTCTTAACGGGTTAGAGGTATATATATATCAATGACAAAATAATTCCATATGGCAGTAACTGTACGCATCTATATTTTGTAAAATAACTCAGACCTGTTTTGACACAACTAAAGCGAATACTGAATAACTTGATTTTCCATGATCTGAAACAGCTAACTGAAACATTTGTTGCTGTCTGGCGTCCAGCTTACAGCGATTCCTCGTTTGTCGTTTTGGAAGAATATTTCAAACTCTTGGACAAATATCGATAACTCATATCAACGTTTTAGAGATACTTCTGATAGGACAGACCTAATTGCGGGCAGGCGAAATTTTTGTATTTTTAACTTTTTTTTTCAGGCTGGCACGTGATCAACTTCGTTGTTTTATAAATGAGGAACAATAAAATTTTATTTACTATGTAGTCAAATTCACACGTATCTGTAGTCAGTGATCGTGTGCCATCACTGATACGGAGACCAACATCTAACATGTTCCTCTTTATCAAAACAATACGTAAAGATACACGACGCTTCAAACATCACATTCCGCCACAAAAACAACCTTAATGACGAACCATTTAAGGTAAACACAGGCGATACACATCACATCACAGTGGAAATAAAAAAAATTCACATTACACTTGTTTTCATCCGTACACAAGGTATTACAAACAAAAATAACACCATAGAGACACATCTGCCAACGTCTACGAGTTCAAGTTCTGTTTTCAGGCCATTTAAAACCCATTGCATTATCACAACGATTTTCTGGAAAACAAGTGATCAATATCTAACAAGCGTTTAACGTTGTTCGCACGTTGATGTATTGTAATATAATCCCCAGTCAACACAACACCGAAAATATTACAAAGTTTTTAGTATCAATCAAGAAGAGGTATTTGATAAGTTATCTTAACGACATTGCTGACAACAAAATCTCAAATTTTCCTCATAACTGCTATCGGATTCATCCATTCCATTGCATGGTTTATGATTCTGGTGATATTAATTCCAAATCATAAAGTCAGTTGATGTTAGATAACATCGTCTTCATTTGCGTCCATTTTTTTTAGTTTTGAAGTAATGGTACTTCATCAGTTCTTCCTTATTGATGTTATCAGTGTTCCATATATCCCAATGAACATATCTGACAGGGAATGAATTTTACCATCCAGCAACAGAAAAACTAAATCAACTTCATAGTGCGTGTATTCTTTATGAAGTATTATTATAATGCATTAATTAACAGTTCATATTTAAGTAACAGTGGCCAAAAGTCGGTAAATTGTTGATTAGTGAACCTTCAGAAATAAAGTGCACGCATTCCCCAGCCGAGAACGTGAACAAATATCTGTATAACTCAAGGACGCACCAACATTGGAAGGGATTTAAGTTAGAGATTATTTGAACTGATATTTGAAGGGCATTTTCGAAAACGCTATAAAGTATGCATGTACCACAAACGTTTAGATATATCAAAGAACACATCTTTAGAACTGAAAAAAAATGAAATTAAACTGATATTTGTAGAAAAGTAACACAAGATCTGCACAGACGACTTTAAAATTTACTAAAATTTCTATGTTCATTTGATCACATTATCTTCTCTCATGTTAATTCCCTGACTATGATAACAGTGGTTGCTCATTGTCGCTTTATAAATAATACACACAAAAATAAAGAAAATAACAACATGTCAACATAATCACAATCTAAATTCAGCTTTCCATAAAACTAGCGGCAGAATATCAACAAAAGAAAGATTTTCACGGAAACTCCTTTAAAAGTACGCGGAGAATAAAACAAGGCGTTCTGGAAGAGTAAGCTTCTTCTGCGTCATCGATGACATCCTCCATGTAAACCTTGGTCTCTTCACGTCAGTAATGTCATGTTCTTAAATGAGAACAAAGTATAAAACAATGGAACAACCAGACATACTAATGAGCTTCCAACACGTCCAGCTTCATATCACAAAGAAAAAGATCCTAGAATATTTCTCAGTGAGGTCATTATGGCGACCATAGAACTTCCCCATAATTTTCAGCAGCCTGCATTTTTGAAACCCTGTACTACGATTTTGTCTGTCAGCTGACGACTTCTTGCACGAACATCGTGAAAGTGGGAAAAGACCCTTGAATATCGAATCAACTGTAACACATAAATACCAAAGGCTGGGGATGCAGGGATATTACTATACAGAAATGGAAATTTCACAAAAGGGAAATTGAAATCATCATGTTTGTCATACAGCTTGGTGGAAAGCTGTCAACCGTGGTTTCGTTATAGGATAACATCGAGATAAGCAGCTGATGTAGAAAAGCCTGTCCTGTCTTTGATTTTCGATGCTGGTTGGTATATATACGATGGAAGTATTATTTAAAGCCAAGTCGTCAGCAATATTTTTGGAAGTGAAATTAAGGACTTCAATAAATCCAGCCTCGTATGAAAACAAAAGCAAGTTAGTTCTCATCAGCGTGTCAATAGTCTGTTGGAAAAGCTTACTACCAAACTCGGTGGAGATGTTGTCAGCTCGAAACTTAATCATTTTCATGATTTCGTCCTTGGTTTATTCCTTATTTGAATTTGACTTATTAGTTTGTACGAAATGCGCATCAGAAGAAATCCATGTAACTACGTAGTCAGTGGTATCAATGTGGCGGCGTGAAATAAGACAATCTCCTTTTCAATGGGATATTAGAACCAACAACGTACCATTCTTCCAATAAACAGAACAGGGTTCGATAGATTTTAGTGTAAGGCGTAGAGGCACAGCCATATCGTTTTTAGAAATGATTACTCCATTCCAGCAGTCACCGCGGTTTGGTAACATCAGAATTATAATTATGACAAGAATCATGCCAGCATTGATTGCATTTAATTATCTCATATTGTTGAGATACCGACATGATGGTTTTGGATTGATGCTGATTTTTCTTGAAGACACAATTAATATTGTTTTACCTAATTTGAAATTAGTCTGTTAATTTCAGTTTAAGGATTCTTCCAATTTTATCATCAATAATGTTTGTGTATTTAATGTAGTTTCATTAGGACATAAATTGGCATTTTGAAATTGTTGTTTTTTCCCTTTATTCTCCATAAAATATAATTGGT